AAAGAATGGTCCCAAATACAAAACAAAAAAGAAAATTATTTAGAAAATAAAAAGCACGTGTCTGACAACGATGTAAATATTCGTTCCTTGTAGAAAGATGGATGGTGCATGCAATGTTACGTGCAGACGATATCAGACTTGTTGGCACAACTTATTGGAACAAGTCTGTTGGCCTCGTCAATTATTGGAAAAAACCTTGCAACAAGTCTATACGTAAGCATTACCTGCGGTCTTCTGAATAAAAGCAGCCGGTCCAAGTCCTATGATAGTCGCGGCTCGAATCACCACCACATATTCGCTACTCGGACTCAGGCCACCGTACGCGTAACTTTTCTCATTCTGTCGCGGTATTTGTGCCGTTCTGGCACACGAAAAATCGGGACCATATTTTCGTATACACACGTGATAGTAGATGATAATGCCATTGTGTAATTCTGGGTGAGGCTCTGTCCACGAGAAACTGATCGTCGACTCGTCTAGGTACTTCACAATTTTTTCCATTGGTGGGCCATCTGGCTCTGGAATTAAAGAGAAGAAATTGATTTAAACAGCGGTATAATAAAGTTTAAGCGACATTTAAAAATCTCACAACTTGTGAAAAAGATGTGTTCGCAACAGGCTTGTAGCAAGCTTCTCAACAAGTTGCAACAATGCTGTTATTTTATCAAGTTGCTACAAGGTTGTCACTCACAACTTGTTGAGAAATTGTTGAAATGCAGGACGATAACAAGTTGTTGGAACAGCTTGTAACAAATCTGTTGAGCGCAACAACCTTTATGGCAACTTGTCAACAAGCCGTTGAGAACTGTCAACAAGCTGGAAACAAGCAGTATGAACACATCCTGTTGACAAGTTGTTGAAACAGCATTGCTACAAGTCTGCTGCAGGTTTGTTGCGAATGCACCCTTTCGATAATTGCGTCACACATACTTTTAGGTGTTGGAGCCTCGCTCTCATTAGTAAATTACGCAAGGTGATTGGCTCACGATTCATGAGAGTGAGGCTCCCAGGTCAAATGACGTAATTATAGTCGAAAGGATGTATTGTGTAATGTAAATCGTGCCATAATCTACAAACCTGACTGCGCTGTCCTCCGGGTAATGCTTCCTATGGGGCCAAATCCTTTGACAGTGGCTGCTCGGATTGTAACACTGTACACACGATACGGTCTTAGCCCACTAAACGTGTACGACGTTTGTGTAAATTCAAACGTATCTTCGTGCAGACAGAAGCCGTAGGTTTGGTTTCTGATGCACAGTGAATACTTAGTAATCACGCCGTTCCTTTTGGAGGGGTCTGGGGGCGACCACGTGATGTTCATTTCATTATGAGTGAAGTTAGCCACTTGTATGTCTGCCGGTGGGCCAGATGGTGCTGAAATAAGAAAGTGATTGTATATTACCCTTGCTCTCTGATCCATATTAGTGAAGTGATCCTTAAAGTGCGACTAACCCCAGATATAATTTTTGGAATGGGTAATATTTGGGTCATTCTAAGAAGAAATGCAATGTATCTTTATAGTAAAAAAACTCATCTTGATCAACTTTTTCACTGTCAAAGATATGATGTCATTAGATGCATTTTTGGTACAAAATTGAAGAACATTTTGAATTTTCCACGCGTACTTAAGAGAAAATTTTAAGGAATCATATTTAGTTATCTGCCATTCGAGTCTATCTTGAGATTGCGAAGTGTTCTTCATGCATATCCTGTTAATAGAGTTTGAAGATTGTTTTGTTTCCTCGGCAATTTTACAACCAATATAATTGAAGAACATTTGAAAAAGGCAAATTCAGGATCCGAGGAACATTGAACACTTTTTGCAGGTCTGCATCTGTACACGATTGGTTCAACGAGTTTGTTTCCCGTCGCGTTTCCATCCTACATGCTTAAGGTCGCTATTGGGGGGGGGAGGGTCACGGGATCTAAGCATTTAGGTGATCTTGAGGCTGCGACCACATTGGAAAGCAGTCAGAAACAAAAAATTACCTGTTTCCCGCGTTGTCACTACCACCAACGCAGGCGGCCCAAAGCCAACCACTGTACCAGCGGATATATTGAATCCATACTTCGTGTAAGGTTTTAGTTCTGACACGGTGAACTTGGTAAGCGGATCATCCTGTCCACCGAGCACGTGCGTCATTTCTCGCAGACAGGGACCTGGGGATGTGCTGACGACTCGAAGGCAGATAAAATAATTGATAATTATTCCATTGTGCAACTCGGGGTCTGGAGGTAACCATGACAACGTCAACTTGTCGGAGCTCAACCCTATCGTGCGCGCTTCGGTGGGTGGACCGCCTGGAGCTGTGTGTGAAAGTAAGATAGAATAAATTAGGTACTGAAATCGGAAATACAGTAGAACCAGGGATGTAGAAGAGGCGAGGGTGGGGGTTTCAGGGGGCTTAGCCATAGATATCTTATATACACTAGATAGCGCATCTCTTTCAGTAAAATTTAAGCCAAGAATATTCCAGCGGTTACCCCCATTTGAATAAATGGCGGTTATTTGGAGTTTCCCACTCTCTAATGAGGGTTCTAAGGGGGGGGTCGTATTCCCATTTCCCAGCCCAAATTTTGACTAAATCCCATTGTCCCCAGAGCACAAATCCCATCATCCCAGTGGCTGTCTCAAATCTTAATCCCATTCCCATTTTCTATTGTTTTTTCGCTGATGAATCCCAGTCCCAGTGCATGAAATCCCATTTTCCCACCCAAAAATAAGCAAATCCCAGTTCCCATTTTACCCCTTCAGGACCCTCTCTAATAAACGCTTAAAAAACAACAATAACTTTCATCATTTGAATAGTTTGAAAATGTATTTGGAATAGGTTTAACTTTATGTTTAAGTTCCCTGTTTAAGAAATACAAAACATACGAGTCTTCTCATTAATTTCATGGGAATATCCTAAGTCTGCAATCACGGCTTCAATTTTTGAATTGCAGAATAATTACATGCACTATCTAGTGTATATAAGATATCTATTGGCTTAGCCCCCTTTAGTAAAAATTTCATGCCTGATTTGGGCGGCTGACCTTCCAATAATTTTGCAGATTGCGTGTTCATGACCTGGAAAGTTCTTTGCAACTGTAGTGTTGAAATGATGCGGTAATGATGTTAGTAATCTGTACTTGATTACTATGATCATACTATTAGCTAGGTCATGTATATGTGACTCCAACATGAAATAGCTTCGGTACGGGAATCTTTATGATTTGAAGTTAAGTCGGTTTCTGACACATTTCTTACAAATCCTTCAAAACTTAGAATTTACCGATGCAAAATTCCTACTGTGATCACAGAAACTTTGATAATTAATGTATGTAAACCAGATTTAACTAGCAAGTTAAGGCAGAACGAATGAAATTTTGTGTAACATAATTTCCATTACAAATCGTACAGCTGCCTAATTTGTGGTAAAGCCAGCCACTTCTTAAATTTTCAGAGGTAGCCATGTTTTCTTTGCGAGCAAAATAGCATTGACTTAACTGAAACCTTTTATACGTCCATTTTTGAGAGCGAAAACTTTTGGTTTTGTTTCTCACATAGCACCGGTATGATGTTTTAGCTACCTGCTGTTATTTATGCAAATTGTCGTAGTGGACGCCTTGATTTGCGCGTCTTGTTGAGTCAGTTATTTCCTCACGTTTGAATTCAACAAAGCCGCAAATTTGCCGAGTCTTTTATCGCCATTGGTAAGTGTTTTTAGGAAATTTCACGAACATTATAAATCATGTTTTTAACTGTGTAAATTTTATTTTCTATATGGAGTATTTAATACCTTTCTTAACCGATTAGCCGCTATTTACGGTTTCGAAACTGATTTGAAAGCTCAACATTAAAAGATATTTTTAAAACCAACTGATAAATCAAGAAAATACATGCATACAGTTATTGTTACATCCAAAGCATTTCAGGGCCGGATATAGCCTCATCTGCAAGGAGGGGTGCAGGTTTTCCATGGGGGTGGTGAATGAGGGAGCCTTACTGCCCACTCTCCTCTGCAGTCTGCAACGTTACTATTCCAACATTACCATTATATTTGAGATGGCCGAATTTGCATGTTCGCCGTTCTGTTACGTTTTACATTATATCTTGCCACAAAGTTTATATCGGTTTTTTATCATGTATGCGTGACTGGACAGTTTCTGTAGCACAGTACAGTAAATTTGCTTGTTAAAGAACATGTTTACATATTTAATTAACCATGATATTCAACTAAAGCATTCTGAGTAATCACAAATCAATGAAATCGTTTCAAGAAATCGACACGCGCTAACAGTAAAGGTTCCGCTAATCGCTATTCGAAAAGCAGAAAATGTATCGTCATGTAAAATTTTTTAGGGTTGTGCTGGACTTCTCTTATACGCGAGTGCTAGACACCACTAGGCGGGGTGCGCGATCCCCTCCCTCCCGCGGCCCCACGGTAGATCCGTCCCTGGAAACAAAGAAAGGTTCTGTTGGAAACAATCAGTAAAAGTGTATACATGTCTTGTATTATTAGTGAAACGTAACATTTAAGTATGGATCAGGGATTCCCATGGCAGACTCTGGAACAAAGAGAAGTATATCGAAGGCATAATAACAACCCCAATCTAGTAAAACAAGCTGAAGGGATTGTAAGGGCGACGCGAAATGGCGGCATGGTGACTTATTTCTGCATCTCATCTACAAAATGGTCGCAAGCGCTGATCGTAAAAGCAGGTTCGAGACGGCAATTTCCATACAATAACCCCATCAATCCACAGGATGCAAGCAACCCATGGTTGATCACCGGTTATTCTGGACGATCGGATCCCGCATTCCATAGAATGATGCAAGAATATTGGGCACAAATGGGTGGTCCGTGGCACATACATCCCTTCGCCGTGTTCAAGTGGAATAGAAACAGGTGGCAACAACAACCGGTAAACGTTGATGTTGTGAACCAGTGTCTTCGTGCCACAGTTGACGACCAAACATTTTTGCTTTATCCTGCGGCTAGCACGTTTAAAATGGAAGTTAAAACGTACTCTGCTGGCCCCCAAATGCAGACGCAGTATATAAATTTTAATTATTAAACTAAAAGTTAACGTGGACGAAATAACAATATCAAATGTTATTAGGTAGTAGTATGGCTTGAAGCTATTTAGTAGTATGGCTTGAAGCTATTACATGGTAGTATGGCTTGAAGTTATTACATAGTAGTATGGCTTGAAGCTATTACATAGTAGTATGGCTTGAAGCTATTACATAGTAGTATGGCTTGAAGCTATTAGATAGTAGTAGTATGACAATGCAATTTGAAAAAACATGCACGACAAAAACATAATTGTACTGACGAACAGGGACGTAGCGATGGGGGGAGGGGGAGTAGGGGGTGGATTCTTTCTGATTTTAAGATGCAAATATATTATAACAACATTGACTGGCAAACGCTGAAGATAAGAGCGAATTATGCAAGCTAAGAATGTTCAAATTTTAGCCAGTTGCATTTCAGGGTTTTCTGAGTGTCTAAATATTAAAAAAAAACAAATTCCTCTAGTAGACGTAATCCCGTATATCCCATTCCCATTGTGCTAACATATTCTTTTGAAAAAAACACCTGCCATACTTGAACGTACTCATGAAAACACCGCACGAAGTTTCGACTACAGCTTTTAGCTAATGTGAAAAGTAATTTTAAAAATCAGCCCCAATGGCAAGTGCAATTTAAGTCTTTGAAAAACTCATGCGGTATGTATATATACGTGTATGTTCTTCAAAAAATGTATGTGTATGTTTAGACATCTGGAGCTATTTGTGTAAAAAGATAAAGAAAAACTGAATAAATTGTAAATAGAATTGAAAATAAATAAAACCGCGTAAACGGCCAGAAAAACTCTCTTAAATTTTTTGAGAAATTTGATAGAATTTCATGTGATGAATAATGAACATGTATATATAAAGAACATTGAGTGACATAGCAAAAATTAAATCCTGCATGATATGATGTCTTAGGTACCTGCTGTTCAGAAATGCAAATGATTTTAATTTTATGATGCAAATAGCTACAGTGAACGCTTGGTTTAAGCGACGTCTTGCTGAATTTATTTTGTCACATGCATTTGCATTCAGTACAGCGCCAAGGAGTTCTACCGCCATTGGCATTGCCAATTGGTATAAGTGTTTCATTCGAAGTACACTTAAAAGATCTTCGACTTGGGAGCTACAAAGTTCTCTAACGTGTGAAACGTATTTTATTAAAGACTTTGCAACTACAACAGTTGAGATAAGTCAAATCTTACAGGCATTAGTCATTAGATATATAAAAGTAACTAAGATATCACAAGCTCCGTATTATGTTTGCATTCAATAGGTAAGATTAATTACATTTATAGTATATAAATATCTATAAAACTTAGAACTAAGTATCTATACTATCTAGATATAAATATTATACAACTGCATGTTCAACAGTTCCGATGGAATATAGGAATTTTTCAGCATAAGAATGACCTTGAATTTACTATATAAATTGTTAAACATGTTGTGTCCTAATCCTAACCCTTATATAATCTTAATCTAACTCTAATCTAATCTTTATCTGACACTAATCTAAACTTGAAAAATCTGTTCAGAATTTCTAAAGGATCTCCTAGAAATGGCTTTCTATATTGTGTGAGTGCCCTTGAGTGCATCATGCATGCCCTCTATATTTAATTATATTTTTATCATACTGCCAAGTTCCATATATTAATATACACTGTATTCAGTAATGTATGTTCTGTGTATTTATTTATTCCAGTATGGAGGAATATCTAGAGCAAGTTCGCCAAAGGCATAGCGACCCAATTCTAGAAACAGAAGCTAGAAAGATTTTGGAGGGTAAAGCAAATGGTCAGCAATGTTATTTCTGCGTTTCAACTACAAAATCGTCAGACGTGCTAATCGTAATAGAAGGTCACAGAAAAGAATTTCCACATAATAAGACCATTTCTGCCAATCAGTTGAGTCCATGGCTGGTCGCTGGTTATCGACCAAGTCAGCCTGACATTCAAGCAGTAGGGGGTATATGTGCTTTTTCTGTGTATAATTGGAATGGAAACGGTTGGAAGGGGCCATTAGACGTCGTTGCGAACGAGCAAGGCCAGCAAGTTGTTTATGCCACCGAAGACCAAACGGTTTTGGTCGATCTTGGTGATCGGACCATGAAGATTGAAGTTACCGCTGTGCGTGGCATCTCCTACATGTCGCATATTTTTACAATCGAGAGCAGCTGGAGTATAGTAATGGATTCAGAGCCTAGAACTTCGCGTCAGTGTTGTTATTCAACAAACTACAATGGATACCATTCTACGAAGAAGCAAAGATTGCCAAACGTTTCACTGTTCATAACCGCATCCAAAATACTTATTTGATGAAAAGTTAAAAAAAATTGCGAAATTCATAAGTTAACAGAAATACCCGTTATTCTAACTATAATTTCATTCGCTTTAAGTATAAACGCGTGAATGAGGGCGGCAAGACGTTTCGTGTTATACAGCTCTGCTGTGTTTATCTCTAGCGTTATAAGAAAGAAACACATTATTTATATTTTCTTAAACAAATCATGAATGCCGCCAGACAGTCGACAGTCGTCCTTATATTATTTTAAATGAAGTTATGCAATAACCAAGGTTAGCAACTTGGTAACCAGGTGTCTTGACGTCAGCATGTCACATGATCGGGGGGATGGCGCAGTGGGTTTAGGTGACACCCCATGGTGACTCTATCATTCGAAGTCTGACGTCCAAACGACAACGTGCGTTTTGAATTTTTTTGCACGCTTACCTCAACCGCTTTCCATTTGCAGTCCAGTTTAAAATTTTATTTCCACCAATTTTAACTGGTGTGAAGGTGTTAGTTCGGTGGGGGTGGCAACTCAAGATGCCATTGTCATGGATTGAATTTAATCTGAATCCAAGTAACAGTAGTCAGTCCAGGTCACCCCCTCGCCTAACAGGTCACACCCTCGCCCCTCGCCAGGTCACCTAACACCTAACCAACCAAATGGGCAAGTATAGAGACAAGGTGTTAACCCATTATAAATGTACAAAAATTATACTCGAAATTTCTATCTACAAATCCATTCAACAATTAGTTTCTATCGAGTGAGATGTAAAAAAAATCTTGTGATATGATGTTTATTTCAACTGCCTGCTGTTTATTATATATTAAGTTTATGCAAAATAGCCGTAGTGGTCTGCCAGCCAGTGGACGCCTTTGTTTAAGGTGATTCATCAGTAATTGTTCTGGAAGAAATAAGAAATTGTCAGGGCCGCCGAGAGGTTGGCGGGGGCCCGGGGCAAATTTTTTTTTAGGGGGCCCTATCTAAAAAAATTTTTGCGGAAAAAATTTTTCCCGGAGAACAACCTCCCCCCCCCAAAAAAAAATTTTTCGGTCAGTGTACCATTTTAG